GTCTGAGACATCAACATCCAGCAATGCCGAACCATTGTCGGTCTGTTCTGTTCAAGGGCTGAACGAGTCCATCTCAGACTACATTCAAAGAGTGAAGACCTATACGGAATCACTATCCCTTGCCAAGGAACGACAACATGCTGCCGAAGCAGAAAAGCAGAAGCTGCAGCCAAAGCTCAGCGACAAGTTGAGGCGGAGCAGATGGTGACCAACAAACTCAACGCCGACAGTGTCGAAATTATGATCTCCCAGCAAGATCAGTAGGCAGTTGTGCTAGAAGGTATGCGTTATGTCCCCGTAGCAAGCGAAGAGCCGACGGCAGTACAACAGGAGAGAGAAGATCTGGCAGACATTTTACAATGTACACTCCGCGCAGTTATTTGGAACAGCATCATGGGTGACCTTCATTCCAAGACTACACGGAAGCCGCAACAAGATCTTAACCATAATATGAAGATGCTTGCAGCAGCCGTCAAGTTAGCAGACACCCAGCTGAAACAGATGGACACCCGCATTGTTGCTCTTGAGGCAAGGCCTTCCACAGCAGCTCCAGGCTGCACCTATGACGCTGCGAAACAAATCAACAAATGTATCGACCATCTCGTTGATATCATTGGCGATATCAATCCATTCAGCAAACCGAACTCAATCAACACCGCGGTGTCCTCCATCAAGGCGAACGTCGACAAGCTGCAGATCAGACCAGATGCCGCCGTCAAACATTTCAAGTTGCTGAGGTTCAACATCAGTAAGTTCAACGACTATAACAAGTCGGACGCCGTAGCATGGTGCAAGCTTTCAACACGGAAGTTGCTTGCCACCATATCTCGGCGGAACTCATGATGATGGCCTTGTGTCTCCAGCTCATTGGAGGAGCTCAGGCATTCATGAATCACACGGCGGCCACTTTGGGCTGCAAGATCGAGAAGCTGCACGAAAACATTTCGTGGGACGAGCTTGAGCAAATGTGGTTTACACGTTTCATGGTCCGCAACGTCGAGAAGGCGGCCATGAACAAACTCTACACCAGCTCGCAAGGGAACATGTCGACAAGAGAATGGCTCATCAAGTGGCAGAAGATAGTGCACACGTCAGGCTTCGACCTCTCGTTCCCGAACATACGGTCGGAATTTTTATCCCGATCGTGCACTGGTTTGCGGTTGGCACTCGGCAACGAGTACGACTACAGCTCATTCAAGGACATCCTTGAACGCACGAACCTTGTCATCCAAACAGACGACAAGGTCGCAAATGAGCGAGCACAGCAGCCGCAATATGTGGCTACGCCAACTTACCAACGACCGACGCATAACAATGCAGTGGTTTCAACAGAACTACGGGATCTCCACGCTACAGCAGCATCCTCGAGTGGTGGAGAACTTGTCGCAGCGCTCCCGCCAAAGCGTCCGAAGAGAGTTCGAAAGAAGAAGGCGAGGCAAGAGACGACCTCGATCGAAATCGGGCAGCAACCATGGACGGCCTACAACATCACGAAGCAAGTATATGAGCTTCGTCAGCAAAATGACTATTGCCTTTGGTGCAACAGCGTCAAGCATACTACCGCCCAATGTAATGAAGAGGGCAAGGCAACAGTAGCCCGTCCAGCTAACTCGGAAAACTGAGTTGCGCACGGAGAGGGACGATGCCTCTCTACACTCCGCCGGAATCGGTTGCCTTGCTAGCAACCGATGTCACTGCCGGGGAGCATGCATTAGTCGCTGATCCTCATTGTTCTTATGAGGATTATGCAGCCCAGCTGGTGCCACCATTGGACCAGCCTAGCCACGTGCAAGTGGACAGCGTATGTGCAGCTTGTACACCGTCAGCAAGTGAGCCGGCTAGTTCGCCAGTCACTTTCGGGGACTCGACGGCGTGGTCAAGGCTTGAGGACTTTGATCCGCTCATGAGAGAGGACTTCACTTGGATACCTCTACCCTCGACCGGATCCTTGCCAAAGCTGCATTGTAATGCCTTAATGGCACATCTACGTTTCTATTTGCACGATGCAGTACCAGCTCTGTTGACGGACGACGGAGTAGCGGTTGTCGATCTCCGCTCCTATCTTGCGAAGATTGACCGCGAGCATGCCACCCAAAGGTACGCCAAAACCGACGCACCATTGTTCTATGTTCGCATTCAAATCGGAAAGGCCACCTGTAGTGCCTTGATTGATTGCGGAGCATCTCACAACTTTATGAGCCAAACCTTTATTGCACGCGCGGGCCTCGGCCCTCGCCCTCGAAGGAAGGCGCAACCTACGCAAGTTACACTCGCAGACGGACGCACGCAAAAGTCAATTGACCGATGCGTTGACGGCGTCCCGGTATGCTTTGCACCACTTGCGTGCGAGCCGGGTGTCATTCGACATCCTCGACACCAAGCTCGACATGATTTTAGGCATGTCTTGGTTGCGTAGCGCCGATCATCCGGTGAACTTCCATGACCAAACCATTCACGTTCATGATCGAAACGGAGTGTTAGTCCCGTGTACGATCGCCACACCTCATACTTCGATCGCTTGTGACGTGGTTTCCGTTGCGAGAATTCGCGACGCCATAGTTTGGAATGACGTCGAGGAGATGGGCCTTGTATTCTTGCATGCCCTTCCCCCCTCGCCGGATAGTGCGCGGAGTACGGGCATGTTTTGTGTTGGTCGACAGATGTTCGCTTGCAGGTCACCCTCGACTACTACGAGGGAAAGGTTTCCCCGACTGTTTCGGTGTCATTGACTGTACACACATCTACATTAATAAGCCACGTGGTGGGCAGGCGGAGCCGTACTTCGATCGCAACAGCCAATACTCAATCCACGGGTAGGTTGTGTGCGATGAGAACCTGCATATACTGGATGTCGTTGTCGGTGCACATGGTTCTGTTCACGATTCACGTGTTCTACATCTGTCTAATTTGTACTGGCGTGGAGAGGAAGGGAGGAAGTCTTTCACGCGGAGGACGAATGTGTTGATGAATGGCGTGGTGATGGGGAGATATATGATGGGAGATGTTGGTTATTCAATCCTGTCGTGGTTGATGACACCGTTTGGCGGCAATAACCGGATGGCGCAGGAGAGATCATTTGACAACAAGTTCTCTGCCCTGCGCATTGCGATTGAAAGGTGCTTCGACAGGTTGAAAGGAATGTGGAGTTTCTTTGGGCGCAAACACATCGCGAATATGGAGAGCCTTTGTTATCAGTTATTCGCTTGCTGCATTTTGCACAACATCATTATTGACGCGGGCATCCCAGTCGACGAAGAACTGTTGCGACAGAGACCGGATGATGATAGTGAAGACGATGAAAGTGAAGGAGAACATGCGGAAGGCGTGGACGACAACGGAGATGGTAAGAATGAAGGAGAATCTGCGGATGACATCGACAATGACGATAGTGATGGCGAGACCACTCTTCGATGCGAGGGGTCCACCTTGTATGGAACCCATCTACAACAGAAAGACTCAGCGGAGGCTCTTCGTTGCTCTGTGCTTTGCTACGCTCTTCATGTAGCCCGCGTTTTTTGTGCGCTTGCTGGTGCACGTGGATGAGTGTTGCCCAGGGCGCTTTCACATGATTTGATTGGCCTCTCGAAAATGGAGAGAGAGAGAGAGAGAGAGAGAGAGAGACAGAGAGAGAGAAAAAAAAAAATATTTTTTAGAGAGAGTGCATAGTTTTTTGTGCTATTACTTTTTTTTTACCTGTTCTGAGGGTCGTCAATATTGCGTGTCTACTTTCGGTGATGGAAACCTCTGGTTTGTCTTCTTTTTTGTGGGTCGTGTGTTTGGATTTGTCATTTCTAGTGTGTCCTGAGTTTTTTTGTATTGAAACATTACGAAATTGGGATCCAGTCATCCACCTACAATTCACTCCCAACCATTCACAATATTCATTATACACACAAAGCATTTGAAACGGACATGGATTGACCCGTTGTCAATAGGAAGTGCTTGGAAGGCATGGCCTGCATACATTGTCCGAATCAATAGGCAATCAATTTTTTTTCTTGGAACGGACCCCCTCCACACACTAGATTTCAACACGACATGTCATGATCCGTTGTCAATCACATGTGTTCATAAGTTTTTTCCTAATTTATTTTATTTTACATTTTTTTTCTTTTTTGTAATGGGCGACAGTCTTGAGGTGTCATCATCGAACTGTTAACACCCAGTTAAATTGAGAGTCAGTTTACTCATTCCATTCCGACAAGATTCGAACTCCGGTGTGTTTATCAGCAGCTCATGGATGTACCGTTGAGTCATGGTTTATATTTTTTTGTTTTAGTATTTATTGTTCATGTTGTTTCTTGATAGCTGGCACGCGAGCGGTGTGATCATTTGTATTCCTTCCCAAGGCCCGAAAAGGTGCAAAATCACGCCTTGTCGTTCTACCACTGCCTACATGCATTTTCCAAATCATAACCCGAAACAAATTATCACATTTTCATGCCATCCTTTTCCATACACAAGTGACGTGCATGACAGACACGACCTTCTATGAATGGCACCTCCAACAATCTCACGTGGCGTACACACCGTCACACGGACAATGACAATAGAATGACAATTAATGAGAAAAAGTTATGTCCAGCAATGAAAAGAAGGGTTGTGACTGCCCACAGTCAAATCTGTCACGCCTACCCCGTAAACACCCAGGCCCTTCGTCACAACCTTACCCAGAAACCAGAAAAAGACGAAGGACACATGAACGACTGCAATTGAAGGATCAAAGTGATGAACTATTCATCACCCCCTCATCTATGCAGCACTATTTAGAGTCGGTGGATGAATCAGGCTCCATACTCATTGCCCTCCAAAGCTGATCATGGACAACTGTCACATCACGGCGGTTCGCGTCTGGTGACATGGTCGCCGTAACTGACGGCGATCTGCCACCACAGGATGTGGACAAACATCTCTGCGGAGGTGTTCGGTAAGGACTGTCCACAACCAAATTGCTGAAGGACACGGTGACCCTCGTCATGGTTTCTCCTCGCCTGCCCCTAGACTTGTGCACATTGCTGACATGATCGTCACGATATGCCCCTGAATTCAACGATGTCCCTTCGTAGACTGCCAATTGTCGCTCTAGACCTCATCCCGCAAGACAGCGATCGTGGTCTCTGCAACTTCTGCTTTCGAAAGTGCCACACCCTCTCTCATGGAAGCCTTGTCCACCTGCTCCCGCAAACACTTCAACTCCTTCACCATAGCGGACAAGCATATAAAAATAACACCTCTCTTGCGTGCGAGCTCATGAGCTTGTTCAATCATCCTCCTGTGGGTCAGCGCAAAATCACCCGCCATGTCCACGACTTTTGTGACATTGCGAAGCGGAGAGGATGACATCCCTGTCACAGACGTGGTTCGGGCCCCCGATGAGATACCTGCAACAAGGCCATCACGCATGGCATATGCAGATGGACAAGTGTCAGATGGGTAGGGTCCCCCCCCGAGAAAAAGAAGGCGAAAAAAAAAAAAGAAACTACAAATCAAATTCGTGCGGGAAAAAACTCTCTGGCTTGCTGTCTGCAACCGTCCCCTGCCCCGTACCCATGGCCCGTTTTCGGAGCAGATGTCGGCTGTCCCGCCATGAAGCACGTGCGCTTCTCACCAACAGCGAGATCGTCGATTATCATCCTCCGGGTCCCAAGGTTGCAACAGTCCGTGCAGGTCACGGTCTGCCCCTGAGCGGGGGTTCCAACACGGTCTTGTGCCAAGGGGTGTCCACCATCTTGTCGTGGTGCTCCTCGGATATGGCCAACATCACATGTCAGATTATATCCCCCACAACGTCACGGTTATTACCATCCCACTCGTCCGGGATTATGTCTTGCAATTTGTTCGCGAAGAAGATGACGTCGGACAGCAGATCAGTGTTGTCATATCCAAGCGCCGGCAACACCTCCATGACATACAACCTGCCCACGTGCACATCGTACCACCTATACCCACGAGAGATCACGTCATCGGTGAACACCAGTTCGGGCGGATGCACCAAATCCCGCCTGTGCAGCACCTCCTTCTCCACCACCACACACCCGACGAAGATTCCATTGAAGATTGTATGCACTTCCATCTCTCTCTCTCTCTCTCTCTCTCTCTCTCTCTCTCTCTCTCTCTCTCTCTCTCTCT